AGAAAGAGAGAGGATTGGTGCGTCGAAAAGAGACGGATCGCTCTGTGAAGCAGAGATGGAGACTTGCCTTTGAGAGACGAGGCCGAGCTCGCTCGTGAGAAAGAGGAAGAAAGAGAGAGCGAGGGAGAGAGAGAGAGAGAAGGCAGAGGTGGTCGTGCAAGTGGTCGTGGACGTGACGAGGACGGAGGACGACGTCGAGAGAGCGGCTTGGGACGCAACGAATCGGAGAAGGACGACAAGATTGGGTTGTGTCGGAGGCGCCGTGATTCAACCGAACGCGCAGGTGTGCCGCAGACTGGCCGGCGCCTCTCTGGAATGCAGGCCCCCCTTCCTCCTGTCAGTCGGTCGGGCTGGGTCCCTCTCTCGACGTATACTCAACCCCCTAAGGGCCCCACTGCGACTTCACGTCGTTCACCACTACCATTGCCAATTACGGCACGCAAGCGCAAGTGCGGACGCACGTTCGACTTTGTGTGTGTATCGCTGTATATACGTGCGCCTCGACGACGCTACGTCACGTCCTCTCACGGCAATCAGTGCAGCTGGCCACCAACGCGTTCCCACGGGGCCAAACCGACCAGGCCAGCTAGCTTCGGTCACCTTTGCACGTCTCTTACCTGTCCTGTTCTCTCGCTCCTTCTCGTTTTCTTCATCTTTCTCCCGTTGCTCTTCTCCGCGATCCTCTTGTTCGTTTCTCTTCCTGCGAGAGCGTCCGTTTCCTCTTTCTTCTCCCCTCTGTTATCTTCTTTCTTCTCTCACGCGTCTTTATAATCTTTATATATTCCCGCCTCACTTCGTAAAGATTACTCCGATATTTCAATATCTTTGAAAATTGATATAAAATAACGCTCGAAGAAGAGGGATAATTTGTTTTGGTGTTAAAACTCGTTAAGATAAAATTAATTGCAAAAATAGCATATTTTTCTCTCTTTCTCTTTTAATTAGGAAGAACGTATTTCACCGTAAAAAGACTGATGTATAAACAATTGCCGCCGATCGTGTTTCGTGTCTAGTATGATTAGGGCGATTGATAAATGTGGACCCCACAGAAAAGCGGGAGAAAAAAGTTACCAGGGAAGACAGAGAAACTTTTATACTTGATGCTGTTACGTGTCAGACGGAAAGCGGTGTCGAATAACTTTCTTGGGTGGCTGGCGCATTTCTGGACTTTTTCACGACTCGCCTAGTTTTACAACACGAGCCGCTGCGACTCGTTGTCGAGAATTATGACGACAGGGGTTACCGAGGGGCCGCCGTAATCAATGAGGGTACCGTAATCATGATTCGCTCCTTGCGGCCATCACGACGCATTTTATGACGAAACACAATGGTCACGTTCAACTTTTCTTGAAAAGCTCTGACAAGCTAACATCATTTTTGTATATTTTATAAGTATATCCACTGATCTTTATGAATAATATAATATAATATTATATATATATGATCAGTGAAATATATCTTAACAATAATGTTATATTAGGACAGACTTGACTATATAATTTTTTTTAATATGCGAAAAAGATTTAACAACACGAAAAAAATTTTTCAAGTTCAGGTAAAAGTTGTGCGACCTATATTCAAACCAGGTGTTCTCGAGAAACGATTCTATAGTATTTCAAAACGATTCTAAGACCTGATTGTAGTTGCTTCTCTTTTGCAGTGCTCGCCGAAATTCCTGTCTCCATCCTTTCCTCGTATTTCGGTTAATACCATACGTATTGTGCACTTGCGAGGTGCGGATGAAACGGTCGCCGAAGTAGTCAACCGTTTTATGACAATGTACCAAGCAGTATTCGAAGACATCTGTGAAAGAAACACGTACGCAGGTAGGTACGAAATATGTGCAGTTTGTACCTGTCCTGACGATGTCGAAGAATAGCGGTTCTGGCGAAGAATCTAGAATTCTCGAAAACATCGGAATTATTATACATATCCCGTTAGAAAAGTACAAAAAGATTTTAATTTCAAGATATTCATATTATATATAAGTGTGGAGCTGATATAATAATAATATAAATTTATATTATATATAATTATATATATATATATATATATATATATATAAAATTAAGAAACAATAAAATCAAAGAATTATATGATATAATATGAATATATGGTAATTTGCTTAAAATTCCACTATGTCTATATATAGTATGTTAATTGAGAGAATATGTATCTACTTAAAAAATGATCAAATTATGCTTGTAAATTACAACGACACTTAAATTTTTTTAGCTCGCGCACAAGATTTTATACGACGTGGAATTCTAGACGGTCGTTTCCTGTGAAAGTTGCGAAATAAGCGGATAACGCCGATCTGATACCGAGGAGCGACGAGTGTTCCAGATCGCATGACGACGACAAACGACGAGGCGCACCTCGAGAAACAGGTCAAGATGTTTCTGGTTCCCGTTAATGATTCGCCGTATGCTCGTGTCGGGTATATTTTAAAAACGGATGACGAGATAGTATTTTCGCGGTACGGCCAACCGTTTGAACAGCTGCGCAAATAGCAGAGGATCCGCGCGCTTCTTCGGCGGCCCCGTGATTTCTGTCTCTCTGCATTCCGCTTTGCCATTTGCAATTTTATCGCCGGTTCCGTCCAGACAGAGCAAACGTTCAAACACTGTATCGTGACAGTTCCATCGGTTTTCAAATCAATATGCATTTCAGATCGATCATGTTGGCAAGTAGAATGCCAATATTTGCACACACAATGCATATTGAACAAACTATATTCACATACGTTAACAATTCTTTAAAGTGTTTTTAATTTTTATAAAACATGAGATCTTATCTCAAATATAGTACATGTATATTTTTGTTTCTGTAATAATTTATAATCTATTTTATTTTAAATTGCATCTTTTATATATAGGCTCTCAAAAATGAGTATAATGATGGTTAAAAGTAAAATACACGCAGAGAATAAGATATTATTTTATCATTTTTTCATTCAGTTATTATGAAACGTGTCGAAAGTATGTAGAAAAAAATAAGATTGCCTTAATTTTCATACTCATTATTGTGCTTTCAGACCAATCCTCTGGAGTGGAGGGATATTTCTCCCCTTCGAAGAGCACGTTTTATCCGACGTGGTACTCGCAATTAGCGCCATAGTACTCCATTCTACGAACAGAGAACTACGCAGGGGAAGGCGAATAGATAACGAGAAAGAAGGAGCGACGAGACCAGCGTTAAAACGAGGGAAAGAGTATGCGAGACGAGGCAAAAGAGCGTGAGTGTATAGTTATATAGCCAACCTCTCGTTCCCTCTAGCCGCGCTCTCTCTCTTTCTCTCTCCCTGCCTCTTCCTGATACGATGTTACAGTCTTGTAGGCAGCCGGGGATCGGGAGAGTCGCCCCACAGCTAACACGTGCAAGGCGCACGTGCACTCTGAGAGAGAGACCGACCGACTCTAGCCGCTGGCGCACAATCATCGGATGCCAAGATACACTCCACGGAATAATTTTCGTTCGGAGCACTCCCGTGGTTCTTTTCTTCCTTCTCGGTTGGACGAAATTGATGACGATGATGAAAAAATCCGCGACGAAGGAGAGCAGGTATATCTGGCCGAACCTCGTCATCGATTCCAAATGACTGCGATAAATAATTCTACGCCCTGCGTCCTTGGCTCTCGAAAACGAGCGATGGCGATGTGATTGCTACTCACTTCTTGGGGAGAAATTTAGAATTTAAGAGAATAACATTTTTTTCTAAATCGAAAATTAAATGCCAAACGTGAAATTTCGTATAAATTTATCTTCTTGAAGAATTTAAAATTTGAGAGAGCGAGAGAGATTTTTTAAATTGAAAATCAAATGTTAGTTTTTATATTTCGTTATCGTTTCGTTATGCAAACAGAATTTTTATTACAGGAAACGTAATAATTTCGTAATACGTACTTTAAAAATATCTCGAAATTAATCATATCGCTCCTTAATCTGTACACTATTCAAGTAGAATTCACTTTTCTTTTGTCTTGAAGTTTCTTACGTTACAACTTGAAAATTATTCCTACTTATCTAATCTTATTTAAGCCGTTTTGACTGATTTATACAATCGAGATATCATGTTTTGACCACACGGTGAGTGATATGTTTACATACGGTTTACTAACGATTACGATATTGTGTATAAATAGATGTACAATAAATCTCAATAATATACATATAGACCGGTTAAAGTCGAGAAGAAGGAAACTGAAGAATTCGATACAATTCAAAATTGAAAAATTTTCATCTTTTATCTCTTCCACCGATTTGCTATAAACATTTTGTCCCTGTCACGCGAACCGATATCTCTTCATTCAGGGAGGCATATTAGTATGTAAAAGCGCAGCCGGGTTAAATCGCGCCACGTTATGCATTCTAAGGGGGTTGACTCGAGCCGGTCCTCTTCGGCGCGATTTTCGACGCAACTCACGCGTTTGGCGGCGCTCCGCAAATTTATTCGTAAGAGTGTACGACGCGCGAGAGAGAGGTGAGAGCATCCACTACCACCACACCTATGTATGGATGGCGGCGGCACACTCTATCTCACGGACGGATACGACGCAGCAGGAAGCGCACGATTACGGGCGCAGCTCACTTCGGGATACATACATTCCCGACTCCCTTGCTTCGGAGGAGAGCAGCTGTGCGCGGAGATGCGCGCCCGCGGTTTCCAATCCGGTCGTCGCGGATATCTCGTCGGCCCGATTTCGAGCAGGGGCAGAGCGAGTTACCGCTAATTATAGGTCCTCTCTGTGTGTCGCTTTTTCCTCGCGTCCCCCACAAACAAAATCGCGACAAAATTGCCGGCTCCGCGCCTCCTCGACATCCCGGAGCCTCCTTTGATTAAACTCGATAATCTCCGTTTTTAAGGTGAAACGTTATTTCTCTTGATGAAAATGTCTTTGAAGTCATTTAATCGATCGCAAATTCTTTTGTCGGTTTTATTTTATGTCAATATATAGCTCGAATGAGAGTTTTATATCTGCGCAAATTTTATTTTTCAGATTGACATTATCTATATTAATCACCTGTAGAGAGGAATGAATGTCTAAGGGACTATTGTCTAGAGTTTTGGATTCAAAGCACGAGGATAGAGATTGTTTAGAATATAAAATGCAGATTTCTCACGGAGACTTTGGATAATATTTTAATAAAGAGAAAATGAAGAATTTTGTAAGTATATATAAAAAATATTTTCTCCATTTTTCTATAATTAAAATACATTTATTCGAGTAAATTTATCGAATTTTTTTACATAAATTCAATGTGCATCAGTTTCTCACGAGATTAACTTTTGCCGGTGACAATCTCTTTGCTTATCAGATACGTGGAAGTGACTCAAGAAGACGATGCCGAACGACGATAATCGAGTTCGGGCCATCAAGAGAGAGACCAGTTATCTCGATAGACCCTTCGGTACATCTGAACCGAGAATATACTGATAACATTAAAACCGCGCCTTATCGTCCAGACACGTGATAAGGATTTCTGTCTTAAGTGCTTAACGCTTATGGACAAGAAGAGTGGAATTCGTTTAAGTGCAAGACGAGTACGGCCGAATGGATCAACACCTGGGCGGTCAATTTGGCCGAGTCACTTCCTCTTCGGTGATTCATCCTACTCGGACACTCTAGACTTGTATGTAATTTCAGGTTTTTAGTCAATGGATCCAAAATTATCCGAGAAGCGTTTGCTCGTATGACAACAGCATTTCGCGAAATTATTTTCCAGAATAATATGAATGGCTTAAAATAATAGCAATAATAATGTAATTTAAAATCCGAATATAATTTCGGAGTTTTTTTTATTTCAAGAATACTGTAAGCGCTTCTTATTCTTGTACAGTACGTTGGCTCGATGTTCCACACGAAACTGGGCGTAAATATTGAGTACGAGAGGTTGAATGCATGAGTTTTCGATTCGAGGGAAGAATTTCGATGCGGATGATCCAGCTAATCACTTTGCGATGCCACGTCGCCGGGAAACCAACAATTCCGACGCTAATTGAGCGGTCTCAGGGCGGTGATACGGTGTTAAAGCCATAACATCCGATGGTTACTGGGGGGATCTCAATGTGAAAAGAGTATCAGTAAATCCTCTCGCGCATATACATACATTTATATATATATATATATATATATATATATATTTATATTCCTATACAATATATATATATGTATGTATGTATACAACGATAGCGTGCCGCGGCGGTTTCCTCTCAATTTATTTATTCGCGGGTCAAGGGAACTCCATTTCTTAAACACGGGGGTCAAGGAGTCAATGAGATCCGGTTGCCTCAGGTATGTAACCGCACAAGTGCTTGCCCGGTCGAGTCTCACGCGCGTTCGGTTTTATTCCCTGTAATTTTCCATGGGATTGTTTCTCCTCTTCATCCGAGAAAGAAAGAAAGAGGAGGAGAGAAAAAAGGACACCTCGTCAACAAACCGCGTCGCGAAATTACGCGACAAACACGCCGATCTGAATAATGATCGTCGCGATAATGCAGCCGTGAACAATCATCTTTTTGCGCGCCGACAGTAGGTAGAAGGTATGACTCGACTCTTTTTATCCTTATCGGCGACGCGATGAAAGAACATGTATGCGTATATATTAGCAAATCGACTCTGGAAAATAATTGCGAAAGCGCTCTGCGTCTTATTTGACAAATAAGAAATTAATACGTCGCCCCGATAGTGATGTATGAGCCTGGTTTTTTACTATTTCAATTAAAAACGTATCACGCCTTGTCCGATAAATTTTCTTTGAATAGTGTATTATATCAATTAGAGATCATGTAGAAGTGATAAGCGGTACATTTCCAATTAATACTGTTATCATTTAGAAAAGACAGATTACAATTGAAATATTAATTAAATTGCGTGAAATAAGTATAAAAATCACCTGGTTTTTATTGCATATTTTGCTTTTATATAATGACTGAAAACTAAAAGCGTGTATGTATCTTTATTTTCAGACGCGAATAAATTTGTCAAAAATGATGACTCAACAACAATCAACAGCTATCATCATTTCGAATACTTCAAGATTCGATCATCGACAGTGTCATCGATGAGAGAGAGAGAGAGAAAGAGATTGTCCTCGGAAGCTTCGCCGGAGCTCGCATGAAATCTCACGAGCGGCTGTCATTCAATGATTCCGCGTGTCCACCCCGCTGCCCTCAATTGCTTCGCAGGCCGCTCTCGCGCGTTTTTTCCTCGGACGAGTGTACTGTCGGCGTCGCCTGGAAATTCTACGAAGCGTGTCGCCGCTATTCCGGCCGATCCCCTTCTCTCTTTCGCTCTTATCGTGCGCGGCCACCTCTTCTTTTTTTATTCTCAGCTCGTAGTAGCGCCGGACATCGGGCGGGTTCTTGTCTTCAACGACCGGTAACGAGACTCCGCTCGAAGTCACGAAGCGCGTACGTGCGAGCACGCGAACCGAGGAGCAAGACGGAGGATACAAAGTACGATGTAATCGCCTCGAACAGAGTACATATTCGCTGCTGGGAGCGATTGAGCCGTCCGCGGCGACGATTTTTGCGGTTCGCGAGCAAAGACGAAATCGCTCTTCGCAAAAGTTGCGAGGCAGTCATGCAAGAAAGAACCTTTTATGAATCAAGCTAACATTCGCTCGGAAAGATTGAGCATTTTTGTCGAAAAATAGATAAGGACCATTGAATGTATGATTCTTCGAAGCTGTAAAGAAGCAATTGAATCTGCTATTTAGATAGGAATATTTTTATAAATGGAATTCTGTCTAAAGTGAGCTACTTATAAATGCAATTACAATTTTATCACTTTCAGGAGACTATTCGCCCGAAAGATTGAATCTGAAACAACTTTTGCATAATGAAAGCGCTCTGTTAATCAGTCATTAGAAAGTTACTCCAAGATTCTGCAGGAAATGGGAGAATTTAATTTAAAACAGTTACATATACAAGATAATTAGTTATTATTACATCGTTCCTCACTCGATTAAATGTATGTGAAAGATTATACTTACTTATTATAGCTTATCCAAAGAAAAAATATTACATTTGTTTAACGCTAAAGGTAGAGAACTGGTTTTCAATTGTTGTTTATATATAAATTAAATGCTTCAATCTTCTTTTTCTTCAATATAAAATATAAAGTTTATACATACATATATTTTACTTGTGTACCTAAAGCTGAACATATTCCGAAATAGTGTATTTTAAAAATAATGTACAATGATTTCTCGCAGTAATTGCAACCTTGTCTGTTAACAGTGGAGGCGCAAGATTTATTCGAGCAAAGGTTTTCGCGCCGCTGTAGAAAATTGCAGCCGGAATCATGGTGAACGACCGTCGTCGTACATACATCAGATGCACATAGAGCCCCGGGGACGATGGTGGTCGCCGGCCGCCTGTTGTTACGGTGTTGGTAGTGACGACGGTGCCTCTTCTCTTCATGGTAGTAGTAGCCGTGATGGCTAGTGGCTGGCGCCGCCGGACGTTCAACAATGGTTCGTATTCCCCTTTCCCTCCCTCCCTTTTACACTCCCTTCGTGTTCCACCGACGCCGCCAGTCGCATAGTCGTCAAACACCCCCGACTACTGATAGCTTCGAAGTCGTGCAGCGAAATCGGAAACCCACCCCCTCCCATAACAATCTATATTATTTTTTTCTTCATTAATTGTCAAATACTTACTTTATTTTTTTTTTTTATTTTATTATTATAGTTCTAAAGCTTTAATTGAGGATAATTTTGATACTTTTTATGCTGACCCAAGTAGCAAACTGACATCATTGATGTAAAAATGACGTAACTTGCTACCTGGGGATTTTCTATCGCTAGATATATTAAAATAAAAATAAATTCCAGGTCCTCTCGAATGAAGAATGGAGGAAAAAAAATGAATGGCCCGACAGGACTCGCGTGACACTCGAGGCTGCCGCTACTCCACTCGGGCAGCGATTGCGCCGTACAAATGGTGGTAGCGTCTCGAGGATCGAGGAGGGGAGCGACATGGGGCAAGGCTATAAAAAGACGTCAGGTGAGGGGCGGAGGCCAGTCGGCTTCGATCCGTCAAACGATCGTGTGTGACTTCAGGGTCGGCGCAGTCGACACTCTACGACGATTCAGTACGCGGTGACCGGACAATCAGTTTTGTCATCGTCGCACGTCACGACACGTTGCTCCCACTCGAAGGAGAATGCGCCTGGTCGGTAGTGCGACGAGCTCGTGATACACGCGTGTGTGTATATGTGCGTTGTGTCGAGCGAACGAGAGCAAGATTCTCGGTGAAAAGGAAGACGATACCGTTGAATTTCCGAGAGACTCGGCGCAGCCGTCCCCGTCGCTCACGACGTACACTTTGCGCCTCCGTGACTCTCTCGGCAGATCGATAAATATACATACGCGCGTGTGTGCATGTGTGTGTGTGTGCGCGCGCGCGCTATCGTCGTCGAGCGACCACGCAGAGCGGCGCCGAGAGGAAATCAATCCAAATTCATCAGCTCGATTGCTCGTGGCTGTAACCAGGAATCCAAGCCGTTGCCAGTCATGAAGGCGATGGTGGTGAGCCCGCTGGGCGGCAGAGTTCCGCCCGATCATCGCGGCGTTCTGCACAACGGCCTGGGAATCGGCGGCACCAGGCGCGACCTCGAGGCCGAGGAGGTGGCCGCTTACCTGACGAAGCTGCGCTCCCTCGTGCCGGACATGCCGCGCAAACGGAAGCTGTCGAAGCTCGAGGTGATCCAGAGGGTGATCGAGTACATCTGCGACCTGCAGACCGCCCTGGAGGAGACAAACGCCGCTGCGCATCAGGAGACGACAACGACGACGCAGTCGTCGAGACAACCCCTGCTGAATGCCATCACGACGACCACCACGACAACCGCCCCCACCATCGCGACGTCCGTCATAATGACGACAACCTCGACGGTCGCTGAACGGTGACCTGCCGGCCGGACTGATTAAGGTACAGGTCGCATCGATGTCATCCTTCTTCGTGGATTGGCGGATATATACTCCGAAAGGGTTGTTCGGGCGTCATGGAACGTCGCGTAAACTCGCCCGCTGATCTACACTTGACTTGACGTTCCAGGAGATGGTGTTAATCACCTCCCCGTCTTCGCCGCCAACCCCCTACCCTCCCCTGGAAAAGAGAAACGGGAGACCGTTCGACGGCGCGCCTGCACCCGAAAGGAAGATGAGCCTGAAAACGAAGACGTTTGAGAAAAGCGAGAAAAGATTCCCGCACCTCTTCGATTTCTTAAGGTCTTCCCTTCCCCGGAGAAGGGAAATTGTAAATATACTTGTACATAGACTCTCTCTCATCGCGCATTCCTCACGAGATCTCTTTCACTATAAGGACTTCATACGAGGATCCTTCTCTTGTCTTTTTTTTCGGGAATCTTACCATTCCAAATTTGTTCAACAGCGTATTATTTAGAAATCGAAAATATCACGTATCTATTCATCTTCAAAGTTTCCGTTTTGCGATTGATGGACCGTAGGAAAAGGCGATCTTTTTTTATATTGATTAATATAATCTTGCGGTTGAAGTAATTGACATCGGTTCTCCGGTGCAGGGCGAGAATTTATTTGTCGATTATAATAATAATAATAATAATAATAATAATAATAATAATGTGCCGAGGGCGCAGTATCGTGCGTGGACAGATGTCACGGAGTCTCCTTCTCCGAAAATGTTTGCCATATACATTCAGTAGAGTCATTACATTAGCGCCCCGCCCAACTGGTCGCCGATCGATCGCCTTTTCTTACACGGTTCTCTCTTGGAAAACGCGCTCCGTCATCGCCTGACTCGCGAGCGATCTGCGAGGTTTATTTCGTAGAATACGTCTTAATAGTTGGCGATTTCGAATTTCGATGTCGATACACAATGGTGATTTTTTTTTATATTCGTCTGTGACACTCGACTTGCGAGAAATTAAATTTTCACCAAAATTCTCGACGACTTTAAATCCCATGTTTCGTTTCCCGGTTAAGATATTCACGCTCTCGCTGTATATCGCCGATACCTTTATTATTGTATGATTATATTATATCGTTGTTATATATACATAGCCCTTTATGTTATAATTTAGAGAGAGCTAACTCCCCTTCCTCAATCCGCGTAAATAGTGTATATTTACGAAGACTGAAAGGCTGTAAGAGTACATTAATGCGCGGGCGAATTGCACTCGCACACACGAAATAAATGCAAACTGTGTCTACAAGTTATTTTTGCGTACTTGTTTCTCCTTTTTCGCGCGTGCAAATATACCCTCTATACGATATATCTTATCAATCACTTATACATATAGATAAATCTACCAAGCTTTAGTTATATGTGGAATTAGTAAAAATATTAAAGTTCATATAATCGCACGATGATATATTTATTTTTATATAAGTTTATTTAATTTCGCTCTCGATATTTATGTTAGAAGATCAATAGAAACATAATTACAAATTTATTATTTCTTTATAAACAAAAATTAAGAAATGTTATTTCAGAAAAAAAAATTAAATGAAGACCGACCCTCGCTCTCTTAATCTTGATTGTCGCGCTTTCTGCGTCGTCTAGGGGCATAAATCCGCGATTCAACGATATCGGGACCGGAAGAGGCAGATGAGGTCGACGGGGGAAACCCTGGGGGATAAAATGGGCGCACGTGTGCGCAACAATCCACGCACACGTGCGAGTAGGGGTGGCGGTCGTTCGCCATCGCCGTCGGTCTCGGCGGAAGGCGAAGGATGTGTGCGGACTGTACTGTGTACTACAAGGGCGACACGTCGTTCCGGCTGGGTGTAGGAGTTCGCAAAGTTCGTATTGATCGTCTTCTGGCGCGGGTCACGTGCGCGTTCCTGGGAACGCTCGATCCGGGCTGTACCCACGGGAACCGACTCCAACCCCCGTCGTCCTTTCTCTCTCTCTCTCTTCCCTTCCTTCCGTGTCCGCTTTTCATCCCCTGCTCGAGCGAGATAGCGAGCGAATGAGGGGATACATTTATTATCCCTTAGAGGATTTGAATTCTCTATATATAAGAGCATCCATCAATAACATCTAAGTATATTAATCCTTCGTTCAGAAATGTTGTTTTGCAATTTTTTTCTTTCTTATATCTATTTCAGATAAGTGAAGAAAGATTAAAATCTCGAAAATTGATGTTATATATAAAAAAAAATACAGTATGCGATTATCATCAAACACTTGCTCAAGTTCTTCTGTATTTATATTAGCGTTTATAATAATAAAGATTAATTTTACGTGTGTCGATAGTCATAAATGAATGCTATTGTTGCTCCTTAAAGAGATGTAATTAAACTTTCTGTAATATATAATCGTACATTTGAAATGAGAAATGTTCAACAAGGTATACGATACTTCTTGCTTCGATTTTATGGTATTTCAGATAATCACTTGTCATATATAGAGTTAAAACAAAAATCTCTCTTGTGATATAAAATAGTGGACTATTCGATGGCTGACTGGTGATGCTAACGCCTTGCTGATAATGGAAATGGAGGCTGACTCACTACCGGGATCCTTCCTTCGTTGTCTCGGCACGTGCAGCCATCAACTACAGGGGGATTGTGCCCTATGACGATTAACACGAAAAATGTCACAAAATCTTGTATACACGGAGAAAATTTTATAGTACAAATTACATAAAAAATACATTCCCTTTTACATTTATTATAAAATTGCAATTAATGACATTAGAATATTGATTATTATAAAAGTGTAAAAATTGTGTTTTAAAATATTTGAATAATTATAATATTACTTTTTTTTGTAAAATGTAACACGTATATATTATTAAGTAAAAATATCATGATTTCTTTTATAGTCAGTATGTTTTATAAAAATTATGTCATTTTTACTATAACTCTTTTTCCGTGTGTAGAAATCCATCATTTCATTTTCATTTCTTAAAACAATTTCACATAATAAATATTGATCATCATAGAAATTTTAAGAAACTAAATTTATATCTAAAAATACGTATACTATATAAATGTTTAATATCTTGTGCTAAGAATTACACATTTCCTTTTACACGATTCAAAAATTTAATAAACTTTGAGCAAATTGTACACTTGATATATAAATAATTTTAAAGTAAAAATTTCGAGAGTTACATCGAAGAATGAAACAGAATCTATATAAACTAAGAATTCAAATTTCCTGATTTATAATAACAAAATCATGAGTAATATTTTTTTACATGTACAGGAAGTTAGTTGAAAAATGTTTAAAATATATATATGGCACACATATACTCCAATATTAATACTTCAAATAAACAATCGTATCATTAATTGTCTATATTATAGACTCATTTGTACATATTACTGAAAATTACACATTACATAATACATTTTGTCATAAGAATTTTAAAGCTGATGCTGATGCATCGTTTTGAAGCACATTGATGGTTGAGCAAGAATATTAAATTAAGTATAAAAATTTAAGAAACGAAAAGTACCTAAAATATCTAAAAAATGTTGAACTTCTTTGTAATGTTTCTACAATTTTAAGTCTTTCTTTTTAGACGTATTGTTATAAAAATTACAAAAAACTTAATTTATTAAATGCGTAAAAAAAACATAATTTCTTTAGAATTATATTTTTTTAGATTTCTATTGCTTAAGAATTTTCTTTCTCTCATGAGGCTTCATAATCAATGATCAACATTTAGTTTATAAATCCTTATTTCGAAATATTTTTTCTTTATAAATTGGATTATACGAAACAATCACGTTTGTTAAAAGTTCATTAAATGATAAAAAGATGTATTTCTTTCGTGATGAATCATTAATTTACTAATTAAAATCAAATTGTTTTTCACAGTTTTATGAAAAAAAAAATTATTACATTCTATGTAGTTTTCATTTATGCCATGAATATCGTTAGCAGAATTCATCTATTCATCTCTTCACTGGAGCATATTTTTTCGCGAATGGATCATGTATATGAATAAACAACAATATAAACGGAATATATCAACTTTTAACTGGTATCGCATCAATATATAAATCACATCTAAGTTTTGTTTAAAATATTACTGCAGAGTATGTCACTGAAAACCAAAAGTTTGAACATATAATATTCAAGTTTTTCAACTCTTCTATTATATAATGATGATATAGCGTGATCAACATAAAGTTGCTAAATATTAAAATTTTTTCTTCTCAATGACAAACTCGGACTGACGGATCTATGTGTTGCTACCAATAGTATCATTGGCAATTAAGAATTAAATACTATAATAACAATGTAAAATCATGTTGCATTAAAATGACTCATCAGTCAAGATACAATAGATGTGTACAAAAGGATATATAATATTCATCCATTCTTTCATCCTCACTCAACCAAATTTTTAACCCCCATTTAAAAATCTGCGTTTTTCGTCGAGCGTGCATACATATGATTTGTATTGGATTATTTATGCATTATTCATACACAAGAGACAGTCCGTGCCTAATTGATAACAATCACGACATGAGACGCTCCAAGCACGATAAAACAATTCGATTCACGCGGTTTCAAGTTATGCCGTTTTTCAATTAAGGTAACAAAGAAAAAATAAAAATTGCTCTTTATATGTACTAGACTTGAGTGGTAAGATATTGTTTGATCGAGTCCTTATCTCGAGCGAGCCACGCGGCGTTCAGTCTGATGGATTCCACGCATTGCTGCACCGTTCTTTCCGTGCCCGGGGTCGGGTGAGTCTCGAAGAAGCTCTCTACGTCTTTGGCTTGCTCCTCGGTGACGAAATTCTCTGTGGTAAACTTGACCAGCCGCGCCAGCAAGAAACCTCCCTCGTAACGGTCCAGCAGGGTCTTCCACTTCTCCTTGAAGAAGTTCCACGCCATAAGACGTCCCTTGTACGACAAACCCACCGACATGATGGCGAATACCGTATCCTGGGCACGGACGTCTTCGCTCATAGCAAAGTCCAGGACTTTTCTCAGCAGCTCCTTGTCCTTGATCGCGCCGAGAGCCCGCAAAATCCGCTCCTTCTCCTCCTGAAGATCCGCGTCTTTGTACAGTTTTATCATAGTTTCATAAGTATTGGCGTCGCCCACGGAAAGCACAGCTCGATAAACCGGACTGCGCAAATCGGCGACAAGCGTCGTGGTGCCGTTTACGTGAAGCTCGAATCTTCTTTTCGCCTCCTCAATGGTATCCTGATCGTTCAATGCCGCCATGCGACCTAACACGAGAGACCTGAGTAAAGTGTTCAAGTGACTCTCGTTCGGTTTGAGATCCCAGCCTAGCCTGTTATTCACGTCGCGGAATATGTTACGTCCAAACGCTTTGAAGGAGTCTTCGAAATCTAAATGCGAGATGAGAATGTTAATTTTGCTCAAAATGTTTACTATGGTAGACCACACGGTATAATTGTCTTCGTGCAAAAACGCTTGCATAAGATCGAGCACTTCTACGGTAGACGCGTGACCCGCTTGCACCATTGCAAAGAGATCATCTAGCAAGCCTAGTCTATCCAGAGGAGGTAATGTGTGATCCTTAATCGCCGGCAATAGAAGCGACAGAGCGGACTGACTATAACGAGTCCGATAGAAACCGATGGTACCAGGATTGATCTTCAACCACGTACCCTCAGGGATGTCCTTGATCGCAAATTCCTTCGTTTTCGCATCCAGTATGCCGTCGAATACTGCTTTGTTTGGATCTTGAGACGAGCTCACGCTTATCGGTATCAGCCATATGTTGTCCGCATCGCTGTCCACCGATCCGTCAGCCAAAAATCTTTCCTGAGACAACGACAGGATCCTGTTCTCGTTCTCTTGACGATGGTCGACCTTGACGACGGGAAAGCCTTGTCTTTTGGTCCACGAAGACATCACTTTACGCACAGCCTTATTGCTGGCCTCCTCCAACGCGGCCCAAAGATCCTCTGTCTCCGCGTTAGCATAGCTGTGTTTCTTCAGATACAGATTCATACCCTTCCTGAAGTCGGCGTCGCCTATGTACGCGTGCAGCATACGAATCACAGACGCACCTTTGTGATAGGATATGTCGTCGAAGATTTCATCGATCTCCGAAGGATGACCGACCGGTACCTCGATGGGATGGCTATTCTTCAGTGCATCTAGCTCTAACGCTCGGATGTGGGTATCTGTGACGAATTGCGTCCAGATATCATATTCCGGAAATAGATGGGCGACACAAAGGAACTCTACGAACGACGCGTAGCCTTCGTTCAGCCATAAATGCGTCCACCATTCCATTGTCACGAGATTACCGAACCACTGATGAGCCAATTCGTGCGCTACTATTAATGCGATCCACTGCTTGCGCACTGCCGAGGTGTTTTGCGGATCCACAAGCAGACAAGTCTCACGGTATGTAACCAGTCCCCAATTTTCCATAGCACCGGACGAAAAATCGGCGATCGCTATGAGATCGATCTTCGGCAGAGGATACGCGATACCAAAGTAAGTTTTGTAGTAGGGCAATACTTTGGTGGCCACTTCCAGTGCAAACTGACCCTGCTCCTTTTTGGATTTGGGGACGTAAACTCGAACTAACACACCATCACTAGACTTGTCCTCTATGTAATCGAATTCACCCACTACTACAGCTACTAAGTATGTTGACATGATAGGTGTTCTTTCAAAAGTCAATATCTCGTGCTCGCCATTTGTAACTTTGCTTTTCATAGGCTGAAAGAAAACAAAGAAGAGATATAGATATATAATCTATAATACATATATGTACATATGCACAATAGCATACTAAATATCATTCAAAAATGCAGTATGTAAATAAAAAGAAATACATTAATAGTAAAAAAAAATATTAATTTCAAATATAAAGAATATATAAAAAAAAAAAAATAATAGAAGAGAAGTAAGTAATGCTGTAAATGTTGCTTACCATATTAGAAAGTGCTGTAAGACCTACTGGTACTTTTAGTGTAATGTCAAATGTGGCTTTGAGTGCTGGTTCATCCCAACATGGAAAGCAACGTCTAGCATCTGTTGGCTCAAATTGGGTAACCGCTGCATGTTCAACACTACCATCCTCTCTGAAATCAAGAAAATTCTATATTATATCTTAAGAAATCTCACTACATTTAAAAATACAATAAAAGATTTCTGACATAAAATTGTATATCAAAAGGAGAATAAAAAAATCATTCATGGAAATAACTTTTACACTAATACAGAATACAATGCAATTACCATCTTGTATTTGAAAGAGTAAAATACTTAGTTTAAACATTATCTTGATTCATACATGTTATATAATTTTCAAGTAATTATATCACTTAAAAATTATATAACATGCACAATAACATGACTGGCAAATAAAATGACTGACAATAAGATAAATGATTAAAGAGACTGTTTTTCTAATCAAATAGAGATTTGGATGTAATAATTTTTTGATTCTTTACACATTGTTAAAGGTATTTTTACCTGGTATATTTGCTCCTATAAAAGCCCTTCATTTTATCATTGATGTCGCCCACGAAATCTATATTTAGACTTCCACTTTTACCAAGAGGTAGAGTTTCAGGAAACACCAACGTGGCTGTCTCTTCCGACGCAGACAGTTCAATTTTCTCAGCAGAAATAGTCTTGCCATCATTTCCATTAAAAGTCGCACCCTTTATATTAATTTCCAAGGAATTTAATACAATGGTATCAGTTGTCTGCTCCACCTGTGGTCCAATAAAACAAATTTATCAGTGAAAATAAGTCTGTAAAAGCAATCGCAACGTAAGAGAGAAGAAAAAAAAGAACAGATAACATCATTAAATAGACAGAAAAACAAGCTTCACGGACGTTTCGAAATTGCACGAGCAAATTACGGTGGGATTTAAATCGCGATTGCCGGCAATTACATACGTGAGATAAGGCGGGCGCGGTTTGTTTGCTCATCAAACTGAAAAAGCGCTATTCAAATAGAACCGGATGTTTCTTGGTTATGTTTCTTGGTTAACTCTCTCTCTCTCTCTCTCTCTCTCTCTCTCTCTCTCTCTCTCTCTCTCTCTCTCTCTCTCTCTCTCTCTTTTCTTTCGCTCGTATAATGAACGATACGCTGGCTTATCTCAGCGACGAACTTACATCGAGATGCACTCTTTCCGTGCCATCGAAGGTGAAAGCGCCGAGGTTCGGCGTCAACGAGATGTCATAGTGATAGGGACGCACGTACAACGGCAGACGGCGAAACGGCTTCTTCTCGTCGCCCGACATCGTTGCGCTCGACTCGCTCGCGTATCCGCTCGTGCTGCAACGCGCGCTCCTCGCCTCGCACTTTCCAAAGACGCTCACTCGCAACAACAGCCGCTGCAGCTGCAACAACGAACCGACACCCTTCTCTTTTTGCTGACTCACAAGGCAACAGTGCGCACTTACACGTGCAACCGCGCGCGAGAACATGGCCTCTGATGCAGACGGGAGTATCGATGTCAATATCGAAGATCGATATATCGATCTTCGATATTTAGATTCGATACGATTCGCGCCATATAATAAATTTTGATATGTATAAGACCTTGCACCAATAAGAAAAATAGTAAATATTTAATATTTAATATTGTATGCAGGGCCTAATTTAATTATTATTTTATTTTATTATATTATATATAATATAGTATATTATATATTTATGTATTATGGTATATTATATTATACATTATAAATATATTATATCTTATATTATATCTTATATTGTATTTTATATTATATTTTATATTATATAATTCTTATTATATATAATTATATACATATATATATAATAAATTATATAATATAAAATGTAATATAAGATGTGCTGTAAAATATAATATAAAATAATGCGTAATATATAATATAATAAATAATATAAAAAATAAATATATACATTAAATATTATACAGGCTGTCACGTACTGAATTGCAAGAAGGAGCAACAATATGGTGCGACCAATGAGATTTGACAGCTGTCACTTTGCGCTCGGGCAGATTTTGCCCACGCGGTCGCCGCTCTAGGTCACAGCGCGTACACCATGCCCGAAGTCGGCTAGTTCGCGACTTTTGTGCGGGCAGTATCCGCACCAAGACAAGAGCGAGATAAGGCTTCCGAGAGTCGAATGGTCGGCCGATCGCGGATGATTTGTCAGAGATAGTGGTGGCGTGCGCGAGCACCCACCGTCAGCCAGGACAAGCGCAGCGAGAGGGTTGAGAGGATCGGCCGACGGTGGTAGTGATCTCTCGATCGAAAGAGAGCGAGAGAGAAGGAAGAGAAAGAGAGAGAGAGATAGAAGGGGCTGAAGTGAAGTGCGAGAGTGAATCGACGTGAACCTTGCCACGCTCACTCGGACCGGTCGGCTGAAATTTTCGGCGCGGTGACGTGACGGCTCCGGGAGGACGCCCGTTGACGCCGACGTCGTCTACGGGGAGAGTGCGGAGGCGGCTTTTTTCCTCTCTCCTCTTCCTCCTCCTCCTCCTCCACTTCATGGCGCGAGCCGACGCGTCCTCAGGGACCTCGTCCACGAAGGAACGAACGACGTGAGGGACGACGACGACGCGCAGCCTCTTCTTTCCTCCTCCTCCTCCAAGGTCCAGGTGCCATCGGCCGAGGAGAAACACGCAGGCACGGATACACATACATACACACATATATATACATATATATATATATGCACGCACCCGAGTGCGTCACCGCCCATATGTGATGTGTCCCGTGCGTGAGAGCGAATGAGTAATCATGTACTGTCAAGACAAGGGTTCGACCGCCTCCAAGAGCAAAGAGGGTAAGTCGGATGCGAAGGCTCCTATTTTTTGCGCGCGCTTCCTTTTCTCTCTCTCCCTCGAGAACGTCGAGACGTTCCGGCTTTCTTATCGGCTTTCGGCTGCTTTTGTGCGCGCATGTGAAAAGGAGAGAGAGAGAGAGAAGGAGAGTGTGTGTTGTATGAATGAGCGAGAGAGAGGTAGTGGGAGTTCCGTTCCGGGATATGGAAAAAGGACAGGATGACAACGACATCGGGAAGTGCGACAGAGACGGGACGAAGAGAGAAGAGACAGACGGAGGGAGAGAGAAATGAAGAGTTTGTGTGCGTGTGCATACAGTATCGCTTATCGATGGCAGAGGAGGAAGAGAGACGAAACTGCAGTATGTAACTCGCGCGCGTTCTTGCACACGCTTTTTTCATTCGGCGACTCGATTTTCGCATCTTCGAGAATTCGTTCGCAGGATTAAAAATGCGATTATCCTAATGGCGAGATCAACTGACTTTTCTCTCTTTTTTTGTACGTGAGAGAAAGAGAGAGGGACTGAAATGTCACATTTGACATTTGAGAACCTCGATTAGCAATTTGGCCATAATTTTCGTCGACCCTTGTTGAAACTGCGTAATGTTTATTAGGACGTTGACCCGCGCTCTAACTACGTTGTATATGTGTGTACATTATGTGTGCATAACTATGCTGCATTTGTATGTGTATGTGTGTTTGCACCATGTATGTGTGTTTCTCTCTATCTCTCTCTCAACACACATGTGTCAGTTGCAAAGTTTTAATTGCATTTGTTGAGTGAGTTTGCTTTGTTTATACACGGTTTGTCCCAAGAAAAATAACAGTTGGCTAGTTTAAGAGCGAATTACTGTGATACTTGTAAAGTACAACATTCTCATGTATACTTGCGTAGTTAAGAGTATATATACTTTCACTTTTGTAAAAACCTGTTATCTTTCATATTTATGAATGAATAGTTCATCTGTTTGGGATAGATTAAAATATTCGGTCTCAAGATAAGACTTTGCACATTAAATGTCATTATGTTTTGACAGTTGTAGAACAAGAACTATGAATTTTATTGGAACATATTGTGATAAATATTATTCACTTTTAGGCCCACTAATATTAGCCTTTGTTATAGCTACAAATTATTTGACAAATTTAGCAAAATTTTTTCTCAATACTTATTGTATCAAATATCACATTTTTTTACTTTGAGAAGAGAATGAGTAATATTAATATATATGTGTGCTCCTTTTATTATGTAATTTCTCATGTCATTATATTCTTCCCAGTATCATTTAGGATATATGTATATCCTCTATTATTATCATTATCAAGATCCAGGAGCGCACATACATATATATATATATATATATATATATATATATATATATACTGATATAGCGTAGCATAGCATAGCATATGATGTCATCACACATATAATGATTTGTCGTCTCTGAATTACTCTGATGTTCTTGGCCTTCTATTATGATGTCGTTCACTATCTCAACTTATTCTGTATGTTTCAAACTTGTTTAAATAGTGTGCTCCTTATATGCAGGGCCTGTGACAATGCGGGAGAAAAAAGGTGGTGCTCTCAGTAGAGTACAAAAATTAAAAAAGCGTCTCAGTCACAGTTTTGGACGACTTTGTAAGTATACCTTGTTAAAAAAAAATTAACTGCTTTTTTATATTAATAAAGTATAAAATAGTATTTTCCAGTAAAAGTTTAGTTATATCCTCAATTGTGTTCTTAATTTTCTTGGATAATAATAATAAACGTATTAATTAATGTCAGATAAATAATTATTTTTTATATACATTTCTGTGTGTAATTAAATAACATTTTTATAGACTTGTTGGTTATTAGTTTTGCACATCGTTCTACTGATATGTAAACATTTTTTATAATGAATGAAATTTATTAATATGATTAAACCGTTGATTATACTTATTAAAAATAATTATTTTTATTATTAAGTATTATTTAATTTATTATAGCTATATCAAAAGAAGAGGCTGATGATGTGGCAACCAGAGGCCAATTGCCATACAATGGCTATTCTGAGGAGTTCCTAGACCGCTTGGAGCCAAATGGCAATATACCTGCGGATAAAGATCGTCGTTATGGTAAGTTTTAGTTAAAAGCTTTATATATATATATATAAGAGAGAATTTTCTGTATATATTTAGATTTTCACAAGTAAACTTTTATAAAAATCTGTATATAATCTTGTATACTTCTATTGCCGTTATTTTAAGAATGTTTTCGGAAATTGGACTGTCATAGAATGGACGGGTGTGGGCGACCATGAGAGAGTGCATCGGCAGCTTTCGGTTTCTAGCGATTCCAAGCTTCTCGATGAAGACATACGAGAAGAAGCTAGGGTAATCCTGCGGCCCCGACGTCCTCCGCGGCCGAAATCGGAGGTTTTCCTTGGTCCGGACCCACCTAGAAGAACTAAAAGATTCTCCGCCTTTGGGGTAATATTTTGCTCTACATATATATGTGCTCATTAAAATGTTTATACATCAATGTACATTAATTTCCCATTTTGACCCGATAGGGAGATTCGCCGTTCGGTAAATCCGAGGCTTATATAAAACTGGAGCAGTTAGGAGAGGGATCATACGCCACAGTGTTCAAAGGCTACAGCCACCTCACTAATCAGGTGGTGGCTCTTAAAGAAATTAGACTGCAAGAGGAGGAAGGAGCTCCGTTTACTGCCATTCGCGAGGCAAGTCTCCTCAAAGAGTTGAAACATAGCAATATCGTGACCTTACACGATATAATTCATACCCGCGAGACGCTCACCTTCGTATTCGAATACGTTCACACCGATCTGTCGCAATATATGGAGAGGTATGGAAGCGGTAACGGAGGACTAGACCCACGTAATGTTAAATTGTTTCTTTTTCAATTATTGAGAGGACTGGCATATTGCCATCGCAGGTAATTACAAAATACATAGTGTATAATGTCGATGCGTAATTACGATAAGCGTTAATTAATTTATATCTACTTATTTTCTAGGAGAGTCCTGCATAGAGATGTGAAGCCGCAGAATTTATTAATCAGCGAGATAGGAGAACTTAAATTGGCAGACTTTGGATTAGCGAGAGCGAAATCTGTGCCATCGCATACATACTCGCACGAGGTCGTGACCCTATGGTACAGGCCGCCCGACGTTCTTTTAGGTTCCACAGAGTATTCCACCTCGCTCGACATGTGGGGAGTAGGTTGCATATTTGTGGAAATGTTAACTGGCGAACCGACATTCCCGGGTGTACGCTGTACGTACGACCAACTCGATAAGATATTTAAAGTTCTGGGCACACCCATCGAAGAAACTTGGCCGGGTGTTACGCATCTGCCTGGGTATAAGGCACATAGACTGTTATTTTATCCGCCGCGGAAACTGGGAATCTCGTTTCCCCGGCTGTACGACATTGCCGAGGGCGATAGTATGGCGTCGTCGCTCCTACAACTGAATCCCGATCAACGGATAGGAGCAGAGGAAGCGTTAGGACATCCCTATTTCGCTTCTCTTCCTAGAAAATTATACGAATTACCTGACGGTAAGATGTATATATGTTTGTTACAACATTACTATGTCGAAATAATATTTATCTTACGTGATATTTATCTTATAATCATCACTGATTCTGTTACAGAAGTGTCGATATTCAGCGTAGAAGGTTGTCACTTGTATACAAACTCGAGGCACGGATGCGCGGATTCGCGTCACACGACTCTTAAGACTTGAGGTTAAAGCAAACGTTATTGAAGTAAATTATAAGTAAATTCGCAATTTACACATTGAGTGAAACGTTCATTCGTATGAGATCCATATGTTCAGGTACACAGAACACACACACACACACAGGCGCACATGCACTACTCCCAAGCGTGTTGTTCGCTCTCTCTCAGGGCTGCTCCATAATTTTTCCCGTTCTTTTTTTTTTTCATACGTAATATAACAATATTCTTTTCTCTTTTTCGATTTCTCGAGAGTATATACGTATCGAATCAATTAATTATCAATTAACGACGACAAGTCGTAACTGGTCACACAAGGAAACAAGAAAGTAAAGCTTACGGCTAAAAGTTAAAAAAAATGATTATAAGAACTTGCGCACGCTCGATTTAGAAAGCACGCACGACCCATCCTCGCACTTCGTCCAAATACTAGATTTAGATCGATACCAATCAAAAGGAAAGAAAAAAAGTACCATACCGCCGCCCTACGTCCCCCCGGAACCTCAGCCCAAGCCAAATAGGGCGGGCGGTCGCTGGTTTTAGCAAAACTATTACGAAGTAATTAATTACTTATCTTAGAAAAATTGTGGAAGACCTGTAGCACTCTATATAAAACAAACTTTATTGCTGTTGCTTTCGAGCATACGATGTTGGTTGCTAAGACAATTGAGAATATTGATAGATATAAAATAGAGAATCGTTCGATTTAACAAAAATTAATTATTAGACGTGATGATAGTTAAATAAGAAATATAGGGAGCTTAGGAAGAAACAGCGAGTCAGTATTAATCAAGTGTCTTAGTTGCCAACATCGCGAGACGCAGCGAAAGAAACTAATTGAACGCTCATCGTCGATAGTACCGATGGTAGTGATTTAGACGTAAGTGATTATAGCGTTAGATCGTATTTAATATCAATCGAAGTTTATCGACAATGTCGCAACGTAGCGTAAATTAATGATAGCGAATCGAGAGAAAGAGAGTTACGGGGTAGCGATTTTAGGACTTGTCGAAATTTCATTTATTCAATTCGCTGCTAATTATTGTTATCAACATTAGCCAAATGGTGCTCGAATTGTAAAACTGTGACGTGTTTAATCGACTTCGTACTCGTGGCGTAATTATTTAAGTATACGTTCGATTTTCTAAAAACCTTACCGGATATAATAGCGTTGGCAATAGTAGAAATAGGGAAACGTAAGGGAAAAAAATAATACGACGTTACAGTTCTTCCAAATTTGTCTAAGCTACAATTGATGATTATTGCGCGGTAATATTACTCCTTTTCGTAGGTTACATTTATACCGATTTTTCAGCACACTTATTAAAAAAAAAATATATATATATATATATCAACGAGGTGAAAGTAAAAGAGAAGAAAAAAAATTTTCGAAAAGATTTAAGAGACGCTATTACACCCTATTACTACCGATATTATTGAATTTATTTCGGTAGATTGTATATAGAATTACCAAATTCGTATTATATATATATATATAAATATATTGTATATATATAATATATATATATAATATATTATATATATATCGATGATGCTGAAATAGCTGAATCGAGATAATAAATGTGACTTTATAATAAATTCAGTATGGTACACCTTGTCCATCCTTAATCCGGCAGTGGTATTAATTACAGGACTAGGTGCGAAATATGATGATATAATAATTCTTTCTGAACGAAAAACCAAAAATAATTGTTAAACAAATTACACTTTATTTATAAAATACGCGCTTAAAGATTTATTTTTACACATTATGGAAAAAGAATATTAGTAAGTTATATAATAAATGACATCGTATAATACAACGAAAGCACATTTTCAACTTGAAATTGTATAATTTTATTAGTGTGCACACGCGTGATACAGGACACATAAAAGTGATTTCTCTTTTATTGCTCACTAATAACATTTTTTTCTTAATTAGGTTTTCTTTTCATTATGTCAAAAAAGGATTTTTCATAATTAAACAAATTGTAGTGCCGATATAACTCATTATTTTCACGATGCTTCAAATTATTATTCGGAAAATGGAATATCAAAATCTTTAATATTTTATAAATCATATGTAATAGAAAGTTAAGTTGTTTAGATGTTTAAGACTGCGTTTTTTTTATTCTGTCACTTCGTGAAAAACGAGCATTTGTAAAGTATATTAGATAGGACGATGTAATATGAATTATTATTATAGTTTTTCGTTTATAGGGTCCTTGTAAATTGTTGATATTTTTTTAAGTGGTGCTAAAATTTTTCACTCTAATGTGTAAATTTGTAACAATCTTATTCTATCTCATGGCTGATCATTTTTCGTTTTACTTTCTAAAAAAGATATATTTTCAAACATTTAATTGTGTACATTGACGTGTGTAAACTCATGAATTGTTTATTGATTTTAATAAGTATAAAAAATTATATAAAGATAAGTGTATAATGACTTTGTGTGTAAAATTTTTTTATGCAAAAATTCTTGAAATATTTTTTTGACTAAATACATTGAGTCTAAATTATTTAAATATATTTACTCTATTATTTTGTATATACCAAAAGGTAAAAAAATATGTAAATTTCAAGAACACTCATATTTTAAATGCAAGACACGAAGTCTTATATTGGCTTTGAAAATAAAAAATTTTTTTTTCAACATGAATATTAGGATTCGCATTTTGTATATATCATAGTATTTTTCTTTTTCATAAATACGCACACATCTTATGTTTAATTTTGAAATATAATATTGAGATCTATTTAATCTCATATATGATGAATTTATTAATCTTCAGAGAAATATATTTTTCTTTATTTCTTATATATCTGATAATGTGTGTACGATTTTTCAAAGCAATGCATCAATTTTCTTGTAAAGAAGTATCGAGCATTTACATAGATTTCTAAAGGCTTTATCTTGCTCATTAATAAACAAATTTTCTGGCATCTTTTACCACTGCCGAATTAAGCGGTTACCATATTCTATTAGGTTCCGTTTTTAGTCCTTTAAAAAAATGAATACGAAAATTCTTGTATAATTATAAACATGTACTTATGTTGCCTGTAAGTGTATCGATTTTGTACGTGCATTTTTCTTCCACTTTAATTGTATATTTTATTTTGTAATTTTTTTTATAACGAATCGCGATTATATATGTATATCAAAGCCGCTGCGGAATTGTGTAAACGAAAAGAATATAAGATACAAAAAAAGAGGGATTATGTTTTCACATAAACATATGTTTTTACGTTCGAAAATGAACACTTCGCGTCATTTGCGAGGACATGTGATTTATTATTATTATACACATGTGTCCGACGTTTAGACCGATTGATCGATTCCGGATTTGTCGGAAGCATCAAAGTTGAACGTATTGTGCCTGTGCTACAAATATTTGAAATAATAAAGATACACAACTCGCTATTACATATTATGTATTTTACATGTTACTTTTCACATCACACACAAAATGTACAGCGTAATAAAAAATTATTGAGAATCAGTCAGGGAACAGATCAATATATCAAAATATATTAAATTTAAGTTGTATAATAATTTTACTTATATACACTCAAAACATTATTTTATATTTTATATGAGCAAATTTTTTAAAAATATATATCGCATGCATTCATGAATTTATATACAGTGTACATGTGTGTGCGCGTGTGTGTGTGTAAAAAATTTGCATCAGTATAAAATACTTCAAATCAAGAGATTTCTTTAAAAATCGCGCAATTTATAAACATTATAATTTGCAAAACAAAATGCTGTTTAAATTGTTTTAAGTTGGACTGCGTGAAAAAATTTAAAACAAAATTTTAAAAATATGCGATTTAAAGAATAAAACAAAAAGTTGGCTAATAATTGTGTAATCGATCCTAAATTGTGGAATTAAAAGTTCAAGTGCATTTCAGAAAAAATTAACAAGTATGTCAAATTCAAATTTGCCGCCAAATTCAAATTTGGATATAGGCATCGACTAAATATTATTGAAGATCGTTCACCCTAAGTAAATTTTCGAAACTGTTATTGGAGGATTTCGGAGCGCGCTATTGGTCGAGAATAATCGAAACTTATCGTAGCTGTCAGATATCTGTGTTTCGCGATAGACGGAACAAGAGGAGTGAAGAGGATCAGTGTAGCAAGTGCAGAGTGGCAGAGCGTGTAGTTTTTCATTATCGTTGTGTGCCTTGTGTTCGTACCTGCCAGCGATGCGTTTTACGCGTACACATGATCGCAACGACGGAACATGTCCAGAAATATTCTCTACATGTCGTATTTAATTAGTGTGACGTGATACACAACCGCGACGGACGAACGCAACGAACGGACGCGACGAATTCTCTACTCTCGCAGGTAAGAACGCAAAGGAAGTGTACCCCTTTTTTTTCCTCAACACGATAAATTTCGCTTCGATGGAGCACCGATGAGATATATATGTATTATTAAAGAGACTCTGGATAAATTATTTTCTTTCAACTATCACTTGAATTCAGAGATCATTATTTATTTAATAATTTTTTTTCTGTGCACAGAAAATAATATAAAAATATTTATATTTTCTTATAATATATATATATATATATAAAAACGATAAAGTAGAAATGGAATATATATCAGTAAATAAATAATATATGCTGTGCAATTGAGTGACAGATTCGAGTAACAGATATCTCCTGTCAGAAATGTCAAATATCAAATTAATTGCCGTATTAGGTTAGATTATATACGTGTGACTAAATATTCAAAAATTTATATCGAATGACCTAGATGAGTGATCGAAAAACGGTCGATAATATCAACGTTCCATTTTATCCCCTCGCGTGTCCAGTCGCGAAAATTTATGCTAGAGTCCAGGGCCGCAGTCGTTTTTATCACGAATCTCGTCGGTGCCCCGGAGCTTTCCGTGGCTTGTAATCTTTTTCCGAACGATGATTCACATAGTATTTTCTTGCTGTCCCGCCGTGATTCATATTCGTCCCTCTTTCTCTCTCCTGCTTCTTTCCGTTGACGGATTTATGGGAAATGGATATAAGGAAAAATTGCTGTAACGTGCGATGACTTGAAGCGCACGTAGTCGCGACCTCGTCGTCCTCGAGCATCGAGTCAAGTAAGAGAGAATCGCTTCTATATTCCGTATACAACATATATATATATATATATATATATATATATATATATATATATAATTAATTTCTTTTATTCGGGACACTTTATTATTTTATTTCTCCAAACGCCACAGAGCAGCATCGCGTCTGAAATTCATCGCGTAAACAAACAAAGAACCCGGAAAAATAGTCCATCAGAACTCGTTATTATTTCTTACATTTTTCGATATAGTTACAGAAATTTTTCTCCAACAATATCTTGAATTATATCAAAAACATCGAACCGTTCTCTCTTAAAAAATAACGCTTTTATAATCAATATTATCTTTTCGATTGCATCAACTGATCAAGCATAATATGTTTCGTGATAAAAAAAATATATTTCCTGAAGTACATTATTATTTAATGACAAAATTATTCTATCGTATATTCTTCTTGATATCTTTTTTAAATTTCAAAAATTATTATAAAGTATTATACATTATATATTTATTATACAGATACATGTACATATAAACATTTATATCTTTTCAGGTTTGCACAAATATCATGGGTCGTTACACAGGAAAAAAATGTCGCCTTTTGACAATGCTATGGCTGACAGCTTTATTTTTTTTAGTGGAAATTGTAGTTGGTTACGTAACCAACTCAATGGCTTTAATAGCAGACAGTTTTCACATGTTATCAGACGTAGCTGCTTTAGTAGTAGCATTTCTTTCGGTAAAGGTAAGCTTTGAAGCTGTCTTTAGTCTGAGATTTAGTCTTGTTGAAAAATCTAGTTATTTAATTGTGTACTATGATACTGTATCAATTGTTTATAAGCAATTTTACATTGCAGATGTCGCCGAAAAAATGGTCCAAGAATACCTTTGGTTGGGCCAGAGCTGAGGTATTAGGAGCCTTAGTTAATGCTGTATTCTTGGTCGCTCTATGTTTTAGTATTACTGTAGAGGCATGTAAGAGATTCATCGAGGTGGAAGAAATACACGAAGCCAAATTACTCGTTGGAGTCGGAGCACTTGGTTTACTGGTGAATGGGATAGGTTTATGTTTATTCCGTGGTGAGTATTTCTGCTTATAATTACACACTTTTGTTTTCAATAGAGCTTAAAAGGCTTGAATATGTACAGATGTAATATTTAATTTGATGTAGAGATATATTTTCTTATTTTAAAAATATTTTAAAACTAACACAGTTTCCAAAATTGTTATTATTATTAAAATATCTTTTCTGTTAGATCAGTATTATTTAAAAAATATATATTTTTTGTCTTAAATACTACTCTTTGTATCTAATCATCTAAGATTTTAAAATCATAGTTATGATCAAGGATAATAATTGTTTCAAATTGCTGCTTGTATAAGATTCTTTGTGCAATATATTTTTGTAATGTTATCTTATTAATGCTCAAGAGATTTTGTCTTGAATCAAGATAAAGAGTTGATTATCTAGTATATACATCCAGAGATGAACAAAAGTATTAATGCAGCAAAACTCGTAATATGAAACTTCTGTAGATATGACAAAAGTCTTATGAAGTCTTATGAGTTTATACTTGAAAAGATTGTAGAAAGAATTGTTATATTCAAGCTATATAAAAACTCACTGCTCAATAACATCTAATAGATCAATTTCACTATCTTATTAATACATTATTATATATTATAAATTATAAATTATAATAAAGTATTTGGAAAAACATTCAAATTATTTGAATAAACGAAACAGACAATATTTTATTTATCATATATAATACAAAATATTAATTAAGCTAATATATTCAATATTTTTATGTATATAACAAATGAGCTATCAGATTCTTTTCCTGTCTGCTTTCAATCAATCAATCAATTAATTGATCTTAATTAATCTATATCGTGCACATTTTATATATAATAGATAAGAGATTAATCTACTTTACTGATAAAATCTGCAAATATTTACAACATAATTGTAGAACACGGAAGTGCTCATGGTCATTCACATGGTATATCGCGAAGTCATAATAGACTGAGTACCCTAGTAGGTACAGACGACAATGAAAACGACGAAGCTTACAGACCCTCGACACCCCAAGTAAAACGAGCGCATGGTCATTCTCACGATGCGAGTCAAATGAACATGCGAGGAGTATTTCTCCATGTACTTTCCGATGCATTAGGGTCTGTCATTGTAATTGTGTCTGCCCTCATTGTGTGGCTTACAAAGTGGAAATACAGGTGATTATATGGATTATGTATATTCTATAAGTTTAATATTTTGACACGAAACTGATACTTTAGTATTAAAAACTAGTACGATTTCTATATAAATATTCTTTTATTTCCATAGATTCTACATTGATCCTGCATTATCGCTCTTATTAGTCATTCTTATCCTGCGTTCAGTATGGCCGTTACTTCAAGAATCAGCTTTAATTCTACTACAGACTGTGCCAACACATATTCAGGTAATATTTTATTGACTCTATATAATTTAGTATAAAACTACAAATAAAATATATATATATAAATTTAAAAAAATATATACAATTTATAAAAATTTATTTCATGCAGGTCGATGCTATACAGCAACGTCTACTAGAAAATGTAGATGGAGTATTAGCTGTACACGAATTCCATGTGTGGCAATTAGCGGGTGATCGTATTATAGCTAGTGCGCACATAAGATGTAGAAATCTTTCTGAATATATGAAAATCGCCGAACAAGTTAAGGAATTTTTCCATAATGAGGGTATACACTCTACGACTATTCAACCAGAATTTATTGATGTAAGCAAAGATAGAATTATATTTTTTGTGTACGTGTGTATGTATGTGTATGTGTGTACACAAAATGTTACAAAATTCATAAAAATCATTGTAGCAGAAAAATTTGCAAAAGACTTATAAGTAATGGAAATGTATGCAATTTTTTTATTACGAGCAAATTCAAGTTTAAGTTTGGATAATTATGAATTTTGCTTAGGAAGTTGTCTATTCGTGAATCACGCGTATAAGAATATTAATCACAATCTTTTGTCTAGCGCCAATGATGTGCGAAGTGTAAAGTCACCAATACTAACACTATTATATACACGACTCGCAAACAACTCTTTAATCACACATATACACTTACTAAATACTTATATATATTAATATAATATTAATTATAATATATAAATCTAATATTATATATTAATTTTTTTTTATTATTAATATTAATATAATCTATTCTATTATTCTAGTATCATTCTAATAGCGAAATTAAAGAGACTCCTACAGAAGATTGTGTACTGGATTGTCCAAAGACTGATAAGCCGTGCAATCATGCGACGTGCTGTGGTCCTTCCAAACAAGTAAGTATTCCATTTTCCATCTATTATAATTTTGTTGTACATTATTTATCATGCTTACGTTCGCTTGATACTGTAGTATAATGTGGAGAGAGATACAAATCCTCGATCTACGTGTCCTAAATCAAAGTACCTCGGACGATGTTTAGAAGGAATAAAATCTGAGTCAAGTACGACTATAGACCGTGACAGTTCGTCTACTTAGTCTACTATATCCGACAATATAAATTCTATATTTCATCCATTTGAAAGTACAGTTATCTTTCATTATATTAAAAAATTATTTTAATTTTTAATAAAATTTTATTTTATCCAAATTATTAAGAATCTTATGTATTATTTTATTATATATATATATATATATATATATATATATATATATATATATATATATATATATTTAATTTTAAAAGATTACCGAAAACTGAATACATATTTTACAAGATATTTTACATTTCATGTCAAAAATGGTTAGCTTCAAACCTTTTCAATTCAAAGAGTACTCCTTTCGAGTCAAACAACTTTTATTTGAAACATTTTTTCGTAAAATGCTTAGTTTTCCAGATATTTTGCAGTCTCAAGTTAAAAACTCATCCTGTATATACACACACAAAATATATATATACAAATTTAAATTCTAATTATTAAATTTATCTAATTTCAAAATTAGATTGTGATAAGACTAGTTAGTCAATATGTCATACAAAAGTGAGCATAAATTCTGTTCTTATAATTGTTCAAAATAAGATGAAAGAAATGATAAGCATTGTATTTATTGAGGCATAGGATGTAACTATCATCTTTATCATGAAATTCTTTTACAATTTATTTTAGCTTTACTATTATAAACAAGATATATTGATAACTTATCTGTAATACAGGGTCGTGAAACTCCTTCACCTGGAGAGACACCATATATGTGCAGACAGCGTAATAGCCTGGCACGTTCAACAGGCTCTATAGGAGGAACAGAGCAACAAGAAGTGAATGAAATGGAACGCGGACATTTGCTATCACTGCCGGTCTCGCATCCCACTTCGTTCCACTCCGTCCAAGTTCCACATCCTCACGTCAATGCACCAACTGTCTAAGCTCCCTTTGCATTATAAAATATCTACCTCCAATAGAAAAATATGCGGCGCGTCACGATTTATTGTACAAATACAATAAATGAGTATATCTACATAGAATTCATTAGTATCAGCAGTTGATGGCAGAGGTTGAATGACATTTTCGCATCAATTATCAATTTTATAATTAATTTTTTTATTTCAAAAGAGCTTCTTCGGCTTCTAATCTTTGCCATCAATTTACTTATAAATAAATTAAGATATTTGATAATTAAATGCCAAAGGCATATTAATACCAAATATGTGCGTTATATAACTCTGATATAAATAAAATGTCGAAGTTTTCTAGATTTTTCTTCGAAGAATTTTAGAATTACAAGATGCTTCGAATGTTCAATGCATAATTTATCATTAAAAAATATAGGATTTATAATCTATGTTAAGTATTGTTTAAATCTCACATTCATACACATACATACATACATACATACATACATACATACATACATACATACTTGTACATTTGACACCGTAGCTTTATAAAGATACTTTGCGAATTTTTTATTTATAGACATAATCTTTATTGTGTTAATATTATAATATACAGTTTTATAAAATAGTATACAAATTTGTAAGCGACAGTACCAAACCTTTTCATTATATTATATATTGTTTTTTTCCATGTAATTCTTAAATATTAAGTCTGTATTTTTTTATGTATTTCTTGTCGACTTGAATAATTACAAGAAAATTAAAAACTAAAAATGTATTAATTGCTTTTGTGTATATCTCATCATATTACTTATAATTTTAGAAAAAATATACATAATGTTAGTTTTTTTCTGTATTTTATAAGTAATAATAGTACTATAAAAATTAGAAAATTAAAGCTCAGTTAAAAAGCCTTTTATTTACAATTCTTTTATTTATATTTTTCCTTGAGACCAGAATCTGAGTTATTTTAAATTATAATATCAACTCTCTTTTTCTCGCACTATCTATTATCTTATTAATCGTTATTTTGTGATAAGATAATTGACTCTGTAATTCAATATTTTTCTTTTTATAAAACTTAATTCATTATTAATATACTTATTTAATTAATATGTGAATGTAAATTAATACACTAATTTTGTTATGTTCCAGTATTCAATAAAATCCCAATATATTCTCCTTTTATATTTCAACTACAATGTTAGTAACGAATAATGAAACTTCTTAATAATATTTATACATTATTCATGACTTAATATTAATTAGCACATTTTTATACAGTGTAGAAAATCTAATAATTTATTAATATGTCCTGTTTTAATTTTTTTAAATAATATAATGTAAAAACACATTGTATATATTTATACGTGATTCACGTCATTTGTTTCAAGATCCAAGAGCGAGTACAAGGTTCACATACATCAGCGTACACACCAGGTATGTTTGGTTTTGCACATTCTATACCCCATATCACCAGCCCCTTAACTTGATAGGACCCTTTACTCGTCTGACACACTAACGGTGAACCTCCGTCGCCCTTTAAAAAAAAAGGTTTGTATAAAATATTTATAATGATATTGCTAGAATTGATTATTGAATAAATATTACATTAAATATAAACAAAATATAATACAATAATTCTCTCACAGTGCATGCATCTTTGCCCGCTTCTCCTCCGGCGCACAAGGTGCTTTTGTCCAGATATAACGAGGCAGAGTTGCCGAGTTCGTCCCACGAAGGGCCGTTTCGCAAGTCGCTCGATTTATCAGAGGTACGTCTACCTCTTTCAAAATATTTTGATTCATCCCGTTACTTCCAAAAGCGTTCTTTCCCCAGCCTGTCACCCAACATCTTTAAAATATTAATATCGTGTTAATCGCGTTGTTATTCATGGAAAAATTAATATATTTTTCTGTTTTAATTTTCTCAAATAATATTTATAATGTGAAAATATACCATACACATGTTTTCACGAAAAATTATTGCAAAAGTATAATATAGTCTGATCCTCTTAGTAAAACACTAGAGATATATATAAATATAATTATGATAATTACGGTATAAAAGCTTTATTGATTAAATTGAATTAAAGAAAATTTGAAAAAGCAACGTTAAATACTGTGAAAACATTAATTATAATATACATACCTTGTTCCCACATTAACTGGATCACATGAGTAGCATGCAGTATTAATGTTAGGAGCAATTGGAGCATTGGAACTCAGTCTAAGTACTGCTATATCATTCCAAAGATACGTTGAATTATAATAAGGATGCAGAGTAACATTCGAGATGGTAATATTTACAGGTGAATAATTACAGGTGGAGTCAACACCACTTAAACTCCGTGCGCCCAATTTTGCTATAATCCCACCATTTCTGTAACATGTGTTCAAGAATCATATATTATAACGAAATATATATGACAGATTAATACATTGTATATATTGTGTTAATGATACATGAATTAATGATATATTTCTTTTAAAATCTTTAAAATTTGTTATCTTAAAAGATTGGTAATTCTTTAGAAGTCTACATTTTTATTTATTACTTACATATAATTCTGTACTTTATGAGCAGCAGTAAGGACATAATTTCGTCTAACAAGTACTCCACCTCCGAGATAATCGCCATTGTTGGTGAAAATAGCTACTTGCCAAGGATATGCACCACAAGCAGCTTCCCCTGGAGGATGCGAGGAAGGTGGAATTTTTGGGATACCACAGGAAGTATCGTCTCCAGGCATGCAACAGTACACTTGTCCAGAGGGGCAATTAGTTCCCTAAAAATAAAATATATTAAATATATAAATTTTTAAATAAAATATATAAATTTTTTCAGAGTTTTATCCTTGTAAAAATAAAATGTTATATTATAAAATGATTAAATCATAAAATGATCAGAAACATCGAATAATATTAAAAATAAAAAAAAAATGTATAGAATAAATTGAAAAAGCTCTGATATAGTGATAGTATCAATTTTTTTCTATTATTAATAAATAAATAATTACCGTATTCACTATTCTGATGTCAATAATGTTTCCATCTGTAGGGCAGGTGATTCCAGGATAGCACAGACATTGTCCATTATTCACAATAGCAGCTGTAAAAAGCAATAAAATATACATCATTAGCATTAATTCAATCAATATATAAATTAAACTAAATTAAATATGTCAAACTACAATAAAATCTTTTTTTATATTTAGAAATTCTTTGTATTATAAATATGATACAATTAGACGACTATAATTCAAATACTCTACTAAATACCATTAACAATTGAGCTTGATTTATTAATAATTAGATAACACTATCATTTTTATTATTTGTCATTTATATTATATTACTTTTTTTACATCTCTTGTTATATTAATATTTTGCATTATCTTATAATAATAATATATTCTTAGTAATTTATGTACTTGTTGCCACCGTAGTAGTGTCGCAAATAATTTGCGCATAAATTTGTTGCAACACTTGGCATAACGATAACAGAAACAGCAAAATGCTATTCATTTCGAAGACTAAAGTCACCGAGAATTAATTATACAGTCTGTTAAAGACGCCACAAATAAAATACTAAAAATCGTAGCTTACGGATTATATATATATACATAAATGCGTCAACGTACCGAGATATGTTTCCGGTCTTCCGTAATTTTGAAGGGAGAATATTAGCATATATTATTTGTGCATCCTGTCGGACAAAATATAATGCATGACCTTTCATGATGCGTTAAAAACGACGTTTTTAGCGACGATATCCGATGCGATATGCGGTTTTCCTTCGAGCTATCACTAAAAAAAATAAAAAATACAAATAGTAAAATATCTGACATAACATGGGAAAAAAGAGGAACAAATTACTTCCGATTATAATTATTGTATGTATAATAATAGCAGATGTAGCACGTGCGCAACCAGCGTAATAATCCTCGATGGTATTCCCAACATCGGAACAGTCATACATTCAGAGGCAAGGTGTGGAGAGACAAAGCTATCCCTATTTCATTGGCAAATAAACGGCGAAGGTCAATAATAATCCGTGTGAGATCGTGAATCACGCATCGTTGATTTTATTCAATGCGTTTAAAAAAAACTGCTTTGTCGCAGAAAACATTTCATAAGCGCTGACAAATTACACTCTGGGTCCTGTACTTGACATGTATATCACTGACCATGCTTATATTCGCTTGATGTTCTAGTATAATATAAAGAAGGAAAGAAATCATTTTTTAATTAATTGTATCTTATATTGATTCATTTTTTATGTTTAAAATTTCTCTGACATTTTTCCATATAGAGAGCAATCTCTTTCGGTTTCTAATTTTTGCCAATTTACTTATAAATAAATATCACAGACACACATGCATCCATTTATACATTAATTTACACTGTGGTCTTATAAAAATTATGCAAAATTCTTTATGTACATAATTTTTATTGTGTTAATGTTATAATATACAGTTTTATAAAATAATACACAAATTTATAAGCGAGAATATCAAATTTGTTCATACCGCATATCGCATCGGATATCGTCGCTAAAAACGTCGTTTTTTAATGCATCATGAAAGGTCATGCATTATATTTTGTCGGACAGGATGTACAAATAATATTCTCACTTCAAAATTACGGAAAACCGGAAATGTATCCCGGTACGTTGACGCATTTATGTACATATATATATATAAATCCGTAAGCTACGATCTTTAGTATTTTATTTGTGGCGTCTATAACAGATTATAATTAATTCTCGGTGACTTCAATCTTCGAAATGAATAGTTTATACATATTTTTTATTAAATCTATTAATTACTTTTGCTTATATCATATACAATATTATTTACAATTTTAAAAGGATAAGGAAAAATAAGTATTACTATACGCAATATTAATTTTCTCTGTGTATACTGGGTCTTGATATATATTTTTTTTATATTATGTAAGTTTATAAAAAAATGACAATACTATAAAAATTAGAAAATTAAACATTGGTTGAATTAGAAAGAGATCTTTTATTACAATTTTTATTTGCATTTTTCCTTGAGAGACTAGAATCAAAATTATTTCAAATTATGTTAACTTATTCTTTTAACAAGTTTTTGTGACTCAACAATTTTCTCCTTTTTATAAAACTATTAATTCATAAATTCGTGATTGATTAGTTTATTCGTAATATACGAGTTACATGAGAATACAAATTAAAAACTAGCTTAATTTTATGTTTCAATGTTCTATAAAATCCCAAGAATTAATACTGTTAATTTAAATTAGTATTAAGGTTAGTATCTAATATTAATACTTTTTAATAATATTTGTACATTATTCATGATTTAATATTAATTGACACACACATTTTTATATAATGTAGAAAATTTATTAATCTAACGTGGCTACATTTTAGTTCTCGCGCGCGCGCGCGCGCGCGCGCGCACACACACACACACACACACACACACAAATAACATTTATAATGTGAAAATATATGTAAATCCATACATATGTTTTCACGCGATCTACGTCATTTGCTGCCTGATCCAAGGCAGAAAGTTAAATACATTAGTATATACTCCAGGTATTCCTGCATTTGCACAACCTATACCCCATGTCACCAGCCCGACAACTTGAAAGGGCCCGTTATTTATTGAACACACCAACGGTGAACCTCCGTCGCCCTTTAAAAAATGGATTTGTAATGATAGTCAAAATTAATTAATGAATAAATATTACATTAATATAAATAAAAGGCAATATATGCATAATTTTCTTACAGTGCATGCGTCTTTGCCCGCTTCTCCTCCGGCGCACATAGCATTGCCATCCAGAATGAAGAAACTACTGAGTCTCGTCGCTTGAAGAGCCGTTTGACAAGCAGCTTGACTCAACACGGGTACGTCCACCTCTTTCAGAATTATTTGGTACATCCCATTGCTTCCAAAAGCGTTCTTTCCCCAGCCCGTCACCCAACATCTTTAAGATATTAATATCATCATTTTCATAATATGTCATAATATTATTTATAAAAAATAATGATTATTGCAAAATTATAATATATTTTGACCCTCTTAGCAAAATGCTAGAGATAGAAATTATAACTGGATTATGATAATTGAAACATAAAAAATTATATTACACATTGATTGATGAATTAAAGAATTCAATCAATATATATATAACTAAGGAAGGTCTTAAGAGCCATACGCGTATGTTCCTGCGTACATTCAACGAAAATTAATTTTTCGTCGGAAAATAAACAATTGTGCACAAGGCACGAGACTTTATAATAAGAAATAATCCCTTACTTGAGATTTAATTTCTTAAAGTCTCTCTAACCCCTCCCCCATAGAAATTATATTATGTTTTTATTCATTTCTTTGGAGGGGGAGGGGGTAAAGGGACGTTATATATATTGATTTAATAGTAGAACCTTGATAAAATCAACACATAATCTTAGTGTTTAAAGAATTCAAATTAGAGAATTATAAAGTGATCTTATAAATATAAGAAATATTAATTGTAAATATTGTATAATACATGCCTTGTTCCTGCGGCAACTGCTGCAGATGGCAAACACGCTGTATTGATGTTAGGACTAGTTGCAATTGGAGCAGCCGAGCTCAGTCTAAGTACCGCTATATCGTTTTGAAGATTTTGCGAATTATATTGAGGATTTAGAGTAACTTTCGAAATGGAAATGTCTCTATATGGATAAGGCCCGGTATTATTTTGAACATCCCATGCGCCCAATCTCGCTTTAATACCGCCATTTCTGCAATATGTTATCAATAAATATATGTTACAATGAAAATGTGACAGAATTATATGCATATTGAAATTTATTGATGATATAGGAATTAATATTCCTTTACAAATCTTTAAAATTTGCTATCTTGAAAGATTGTAAAATTTCTAGAATTTATCTGTATATTTTTATTACTTACACGTAACCCGCTACTTTATGAGCAGCAGTAAGAACATACATTGGACTGACAAGTACTCCACCTCCTAGGTAAACGTTGCCATCAGTCAAAACGGCCACTTGCCAGGGATATGCGCCATAAGCAGCTTGGCCTACTGGATGTGCGGAAGATGGAATTTTTCGGATACCGCAAGAAGCATCGTTTCCGGGTATTACGCAACAGTACACTTGTCCTGAGGGACAAACTGTTCCCTAAAAAAAAAAAAAAAATTAAATTTTATATTATAAAATATCATAAAATAATTAGTATAAAATTAAAAATAAAATAATTAACTAAATAAAATAAATTAAAAATATTGATAAGAATACATAATCATTTATATAAAATTAACAATTATTATTTTGCAATGTGTAAATATTTTATTGATAGTATCCAACCTTTTGTATTTTTCATTAATAAACAAATATTACCGTATTCACGATTCTGGGATCAATGCCGCTACCCGAAGGACAGGTGGTTCCAGGGTAGCACAGACATCCATTATTTCCATTATTCCCATTATTCACGATATAAGCTGTAAAATGTATATCGGATAATGTTAATAATTATATTAATTCATCAATTTAATTAAATACGCTAAGCTAAAACTTTCCTTTTTATATTTAGAAATTATATTATACATCTCTTGCTATTAATATTTCGCATTATCTTATAATAATAATAGTATCCTTAGTAAAATACGTACTTGTTGCCATTGCAGGACTAGATCCACTAGGTTCGAAAATTATTTGCGCACACATTTGCTGCAATAGCTGGCATAATAATAATAAAAACAACAAAATGCTATGCATTTTGATATCACCGAGAATCAATTGTATCATATCCTTTGTATGAACGACACTCCCAACAAATAAAACACGGAGACCATGTTCACGGATTTATATATACATAAATAGTCGACGAATCGCGATATCATTTCCGTTTCGCCGTAATTTTGATGGGAGCGTATTAGATACTTTGTGTATCCTGTCGGATGAGATGTAATATATGACTTTTCACGATGCGTTAAAAACGACAAGTCTCAGTAAAGATATCCAACGCGATATGTAGTCCCCCTCCGAGCTATCGTGTAAAATATCTAGCATGACATAGAAAAAAGAGGAGAGCAAATTGCTTCCGATTATAATTACGTTAGTATATGTATATAATAATAGCAGTTGTAGCATGTGCGCAACAAGCGTAATAATTCTCGGTGGTATTCCCGGCAGATCAGGACAGATCGTATGTCCAGAGACAAGGTGCTGAGAGACAAGGCCATCCCGTTTCATTGGCAAATAAACGACGAAGGTCAATAATGATTCGTGCGAGCAGATCACGAATCACGCATCGCTGGTTTTGTTCGACGTGTCAAAAAAGACACATTGTTGCAGGAAACATTATTTCATAAGCGTTGACAAATTATATCCAGGCCTTGTACTTAACGCGTATAGTGATAAAAAGAGTTGTTGCATGAATAACAAATGTTATAGCATAAATATTTCTGCGAAAGCAATTTTCTGCATATTCTATTTTTAATTTCTTCGAACATATTCAACTAAAAATGCCTTTAAAAATTGTTTGGGAAATTAAAAATGTTTGTAATTATCAGCTCGATCAGTAAAATTGAGAAATGCAAATG